TCTCAATATGATATCCATTGCAGCGAATATTTTTAAAACTAAGCAAATTTCTTCTGAACTTGCTAGAATAAAATGCATCGTCAATTTATAATTTTGCATTATTTGGTAAAATAATACAAACTCTTCCGAAGCGTTCAATGATATTCAATGCACCTGATATTGTATTGACATTATTTTCTTTCAATATTAAGTCTAAGAAATTTTTTTGTCTTGAAAAATAGTATGTGTAGTTGCACTTTCAACCAAGTAGGCGTCTTGACAATCCATCATAAATCTATCAATATAACAAAATAGATATATTAAACAAAAAACTTGAATTTAAATTTAAAATGATAATATAATGAATACTGTGAAATTAACAATGCATAATAAAGTTCAAAATTTTTGCGAAAAGTAAAAACATATTTCAAATTAAATTTCTAAAATAAAGGGAAATACTAGAAATTAAAAAAAAAAAAAACTAATCTATATCTTCCATCACACCATCCCCAATCAAATGGTCAATATTTTCATTTGGATCAACAAATAAATCAGAGACATCCAAATGTGTCTCATCAATTAGACCATCATAGTTAGCAAAATTTGTCTCCACTTTTCCCTTTTCCTTGATTATTTTTTGTAGAGATCCATAAGGTGTGTTGCCATACGATAGGTACGTGTCCAATGCCTTTTCATTCCACATCTAAAATAACTTTCTTCGTGTATCTTTTTGAATATACTACTTTCGTTTGTTTTGTGCCTTTTGAAATTGTTGCCTTGTTGTTGATAACTTTGTTGATTATTTCGTCCACGGTTTACTCAGCGTGCACGTCCGCGTCAATGTCCAAAGCCATGTCCACATCTTTGTTTTGATATTGCATTTGCTTCAGGCAATGGTACCGAACCAGTTAGACATAACCTGTGATATTTCATCAGTAGTTCATTATTTTGTTCAACAACAAGTAGGCAAGATATAAGTTCTGAGTACTTTTTGAAACCACGCTCACGATATTACTGCTGCAGGAGCACATTCGAGGCGTAAAAGGTGGAAAAAGTTTTCTCCATCATATTTTCATCAGTGATTTTTTCTCCACACAATGTCAATTTTGAACATATTCTAAACAATTCAAAATTGTACTCACTAACAATTTTGAAATCTTGCAAATGAAGGTGCATCCACTTATAATGAGTTTTGGGAAGGACTATAGTCCTTTGATGATCAAATCTTTCAGTTAATTTTTTTCAAAGAACCCGTGGATGTTTCTCAATGAGATATTCAATTTTTAGTCTATCGTGAAGATGATGGCGAAAGAATATAAGTGCTTTTGCACGATCCTGCAGGGATTCTTTGTTTCTTTCTTTTATTATTTCTCCCAAACCTTTTGAGACAAAATGGATATCAGCATCGAGTACCCATGATAGATAATTTTTGTCAGATATATCAAGTGCAGCAACTCGAGTTTCGTGATATTTACCATTTGATTAACTTCTCTAAACTTTGAAAAATTAAGTTATTGTGCTGATAACGTGTTATGAAAGTGAAGAAAAGAGAAGAGCACAGAAAGAAATCAATAGACTTGTGTATGTTTTATTAAAAATCAAAATGCTGTATTTATAGGGCAAAATCAGGAATACAACAGTAATTATTTCTAGGGCTGCAGGAGTGTAATCGTCATTCACCTTTAAACCCTAATAAACTTTCATTTTACAACAGTCACAAGTTGTTGATCATAACTTATTTTATAGTCATAAAACCCTTGTTTGAGCTCTATTTTTTAAAAAGAATACATTCTTTAACAGTTTTTTGATATTATTTCAATTATACATTCTTCAATTACACGTAAATCCAAAAATTTCCCTTATTTATAAACCACAAATTTCACTTCAATTCACTATTAAACGCATTTTTATGACAAAAATGGGGCTCAAACAAGGGCAAAATATTAAATTAATTGGTCACAAATTAACAAATTTTAAGATTACATATGATTTGTTGGTCGCAAATTATTTATTTTATAAGTCACTTATTAACCATTTAATCGGTCACAAGGTCACAAATCTCGACCCACACCAACAGGATCGCACCACGATGGAACCATTGCCACAGCCACCGCCATCCCCACCACCATTTGCAACCCCCCCAGCAACAACACATCACCACAGTTACCGTCACGGTTGACACTGTTACCATCATTTGCAACCTACCGTTGTCACTGTCACCACTATTTGCAACCCAGCAACAGAAACGCACAACCACCTACACCCCCATTTGCAACCCACCAACAACGACTTGCACCACTACCATCGTACCAACACTGTAGAAAAACCACCATTACCACTACCACCTCACTACCACCACTACTAAAAATAACCATTTGCAAACTGAAAACAAGTAAACCGCCAACAATTAAAGTGAAAACAACCACAAAAACTTCGGCTAAGCAAATCGGAAGAGGAAGAAACTACACTCGAAACCCCTTCCCAAGTCGACACCAGTTGATTTCAACATCACCGATGCCGCAACAGCAAGGTTGCAATGTTGCTACGAACGACAGTGTCAATGGACTGCACGTCGCGACGCTACCGTTCGCAATGACATCGATTGATGACCTTGTGATGAACTCTCAGCAGCCTTTGCCGTCGGCCGAAGCAGCTCCTCCATCATCAATAGTTGGCATTCAAAGAGAGAAAAGGGAAAGAAAGAAGAGAGATAACGGAGAGATGTAGAGACAAGAGGAAAAGGAAAATAATTAAGAATGAAGTGAGGTAGGGTTGGTATATAGATTATTTAAATTTTAAAATATTATTAATATTTAAATTGTTATTTGAGTTTCGGAAAACAAAACTTTCAAATCTAATTTTTGAACAATACATTTTAAAATTTTGAGTAGGTGTATTTTCTACTTTTTTTAAATTATAAAAATAGGTTGGATTTCACTAAACTAATTTTCATACAATTTTTAGGGCCCGTTTGGTAGGGATTTTGAGAATTGATTTTTTGACCGTTAGAAGAAAAGTGGGGTCCACATGTGAGAGAAGAAGTCAAAAATTACAGCTTGAATAGTAAAATAATGGTCAAAAAATCAAATTTTTTGGGGCAAAAAATCCCTACCAAACGGGGCCTTAGTCCAAATGCGTGTGCATTTTGGCGTTTAAGCATGCGTATGCAGTTAAATCACATTATCACAAGCATATCTCATATGCAAGGTGTCTAAAAAATGTCCTCAGCATATACGAAGTATATGTGTGCATTTTAGAACACTAATATAAATAGATCACTCATGGAGAATTTTGTGGGTGCAAGTCAAATTCTTGATGACACACCAATTTGATGTAAAAAATTCTCGAGCTATAAAATCTTGGGTATAAGTTAAATTATTATTAGACTTTGTGATTTTTAGAAAAATTTCGATGAAATGATCATATATGTATACATGGTAGGAATTGTCCACTCAATCAATGACATATTGTCATTTGTTTCATTATTAATAGAGTCATGCTATTTGTACACCTTGGTTTACACTATGGTGTGGGCAATTTTGAATACGTTGATTTTAAAAAGGAATATATTACTTATACATAATGCTGTGTCTATAACGGTATCCATCCCCCATACATGGAAGGAGACTCACTTTGGATAAATTATATTTTTTCGAGGTGGATCCCCCTCCATGTATGTGTAGCATCACTCTTTTAAAAAATAATTTTTTCAATCAATGGTTAGATTTTTAACACACGGGAAGTATCAACTAAAGTGTACACATTTTGGGTGTACAAGTAGTCTTATTCTTATTAATAATTATTATACTTTTCTTTTTTATTTAAAAGTTCCACTCAAATGACAACACGTGTCTTGATGCCTAACCTATTTTTTTTTTTTTAATCTTTGTTTTTACCAAAATCAGTCCTTGTTTGAAAATTTTCTTTCTCACGCTCAATTTCAAAACACATTTTATAAAAAATTCATTTTTCATATTTTTTTAAAAATTATTTTCCCTACTTTCAACTTGGGGAACATCGACTTGTTATTCCTAGAGTAACTTTTATTCATTGAGCGACAATCCTTCCACATGGCACCGTCGAATCACTAAGGCCGAAAGGTATGAAATGATTATAAAAAAAATAATTAAAAAAAAGGAAAGTCATAAAAAAAATGGTCAGGAAAGACTACACATTCTCCAAAAATAACTTCGCACAACATCATTTGCAGAAAGAAAGTTTAAAAGCTAATAGCATCTCCAACAAAACCATGGATTGCATTAAAAAGTTTCATATCATCCCCTGAATGCTACGTGAAAGGTGCACTAGCCATTATTCACTTAATTTTCTATAATTTAGTAGCTTGAGTAACATAATGGTGCATGGAACCATGTGTTTAGTTCCCATCTACTTGGAAACGTGGTAGTATTAAATGTTATGCCAACAAAAGAAGTTCCTTTTCCCTTTATTTCATTGAACCTATCAGTTAATGTTAATTTATTTTGGTGCTAAACATGTTACAAAGTAAAATATGTAGCTTTATATTCTAATTTATTTTTATTTAAAATTGATCGTGGAACATGCAATTGAATGAATTTAAGAAATGATTAATTCATTTTCCAACAATGGTGTTGTAAAATGACTGGTAAAAGTAAGTGTTTGAGTTTAACTTTAATCTGACCTACTTTTATAAACATGTCGGTCCTGTAACAACATGGCCATTTACCCACATCGCTAGAGAAGCTGGGACGTGTGACAAATAAGAGGATCCTTTTATCTCAAAAAAAAAATAAAAAAAATAAAAATAAAACAACGTTTTCAATTATATAAAAAATTTAGTTATGATATATAATCAAACATGTATTCTATCAAAATTTACTTAGTGAGTTTGAATTACAAGTTAAATATGTACAAAAAATAGATTTAACGTGTCAAAGGCAACGTATATCTTTGCGAAGATGTGTCGAGAATTGCATGGTAAGGTCAATGGCAACAACCTAACAATAATACGCTTACACATTTTTAACCATTACACCATGAAATCGGTGGATACATATATGTAATGAAAATAAATTCCGCATATTTCTTCTCCTAGATTATCAAGTACTACCTAAAAGCCTCAAGCTATCAATTTTTTGGAGGAAGAAATTCGAAAAATTCGTTTCGAGTAATTATATTTTTTAAGCTTGAAACATCAATATCCTCCTTAGCAGTGACATCCAGGGTCTGGTCATTCCTCCATATTGGAAAGAGCTCAAGGGTTAGATTTTCTTTACCTTCATTGTCAAGAATATTTATTAAATCATCATTCTTGGAAGGCAATAATGACATGCTGAGTTTTAGGGCACCATAAGGCTTTGAATTATCCTTTGTAGTAAATATTTTGTTGGGAGGCATAAAAGAATACAAGTCCAGTGGCCAGGTTTCTTGATTCTCCGCTGTTGTCTGGTGCAATTCTCTCTGATGCACTGCTACAGAATCCTGAAAAATTGCAATAAATAAAAGGTGGGTGATTTTCGCACTACACCCAAGAAATTCTGACTTTTTACATGTGAAAGAAGCCCCTACAGAAAGTATAGAATGCAACTTTTAAGATCAATTCTTTTTCCATTGTACAAAAGCTGTCTCTCTTTATCATATACTAAACTCATAATATTGTTGTTTGCATCTTGTTAGAGAATTTAGTTAGCCAAGTAAAAAAGTGAAAGGGAAACACATTAGACCTCTGAAAGTGTGCTGCAGTTTGAAGGAGTAGCCAACTTCTTAGCATGATCAATTCCCAAATCTCTCTTGCTGAATCCTACAAATCAAGAGCATAAATTTAGTTCGCCTAAGATGAGGGGGGTGTTAAATGGACCGAATAGAACCGAGCAACCCGACTCACCCACTACCGGCTTGACTCGGTCCACCTAACAAGTTAGCTTATGCTTGCAAATGAGGTGAACCAAGCACAACTTGGCTCACTTAATAAAACCTCAGCTAGGCTTGCCCCACCCAAAGGAACGACAAGTGGCTCGCACGAAAAAAAAAAAAAAAAAAAGGCCAGCTCAGCTCTTTTGGGGGATTTGGCAACTAGCGGAACACCCCACTTGACATCTCTACGTAAGAGACAATTTCACTCTTTTACTTTTCTTTCTCTAGCAGTGCAAAACACAAAAACGATAATATTTGGAATCAAAAATAAGAAACTGTCTAGCATTACGTTAATTTTGGCTTTCTACGACGTCCAATAGAGGAATTTTAAAATTTGTTTTACAGTGATCAATATGTTTTACGGTTTAAGATGATCACCATTCACCAACTATAGACTTCAATGTATCACAATAATATTTGAATCAGGACGAGGAAATAATACCTGTGTGTTTTGCTTCCAGGGTCTGAACACCATGTATCCTCGCTCTAGATAATGATTCTAGATGACGACGTTTTTTCTGCCTTTCTCTTGCTTTGTGGTTTTGAAACCAATAGAACACATTTTTCTCTTCGATCTTACCAAATCGACAAAGTTTTGCTGCAATCTGCTGGATTTGTTCAGCCGATGGTGTTCTGATACCACGTCTATATATTCCTTCAAGTACCTGTAATTGCTGCGATGTTGGATTCCATCTTGACCTGGTTACTGCAGGCTCTGTGCTTGTGTCTTTCTTAACTTGGTAATCTGCCACTGCAGACAAGAGTTATACATATAACTTGTCAAAAATATCCATTCATCAAGAGATAGAAAAATAGCACGAACAAGAACAAAATATGATCATACTCAAATTTAACCCTTGTTCACGATAAATCCAACTCGTCTATTTGGATTTACTAAATGCTCTCTGCGTGGGTGTGAAGTATTAAGTGGCTAGTTGTTATGGTAAAGTGGATTCTCAATGCCCAAGAAATAATAGAAATTCTGAATTGAAGAGACAAAGACTTAACATGGTCGAAAAAAGAGAGGATGAACAAGCAGAATGTTTAGTAGGTTGACCACGCTATATGTTCTCTTGTCACAAACATACAGAGAGAGAGAGAGAGAGAGAGAGAGAACAAGACAGAGGCAAAGTTATAAAGTTGAAGGAATTGAAATGAAAAAGAAGGCGTGAAATTCTTGGAGATTTTGGGAGAAGGAAAGCTAAAAGCGACGTGACAATGATGAGATTATGAGAAGATTTCAATGTCTTGTCTCTCTTTTGCACTAACATTGTTTTTCCCCTTCTTTTTCATTTACTAGTCGGCCTACCTCTGTCCTCTGTCTTCCACATTGCTTCTCATTCCATTCCATTCCTCTCTCTCAACTTACATTTCCTTCGCTTTTTCTTGATTGCTCAAATAACCTCGTTTATTTCTCATCTTTCTAACCTTCCCATATAATTTCGAAATTTGCCTCCAAACACTTTGCAACTCAGCCTCATTATTTTGTAGTACATTCCTACTAGGAAGTAAAGTGTGTGTAAATTTAGGTGGAAACACATATAGTCGACTTAAACAATTTTGACTATTGCAACTATAAGAGAAGAAAATATTTTAATCCATTAATTGGTAAATGAATTTCTAGACTAACCCTCCACCAATTAATGTTTTTTTTTCCCATAAGAACATCTTTAATTGATATCATTATTATCCAGCCTGTTTCACTCATGCATCAATCAGTTAGGTATATCACGAGGTGAACCTTCATGTCTTTGACTTGTAACCCATCCGGTCCTTAGAATTGTCGGGAATCTACTTAATATGCGCAGTCAAAAATTAAAATCTATTTCACTCCTGTCAGGATTTATCTTTGTATTTATATAGAAATTATGATAAAGATGTACCTTTTACAAGATCTACAAATTCCTTTGCTCTATCTTTGTTCCAGCCTCTTGAATCTGTCTCCCATAATTGTCCAATTATCCAACATCCAACGGTGATCCACATAGAGAACATGATTGCAAGATTAGGATTTTCTTCTTGTGCTAGCAAGAATAATGAATTCTCTACAAAATTATAAACCCTAATTACTTATTTATATAAGCCCAAACGGGTTTGGTCTGACTCGATCCAATATTTAATTAACCCATTAATTAAATCTGGTCTGTGGATTAATTAATCCAATTAATTCGGGCCTATAGATAAGCAACCCAATTAATTAATTTATCCAACGCTTGTTAAATTAATTAATTGATAAATCACAATCCTCTAGTTCTTCTTTTGTGTGCGACCTATCAAGTTCCCGATCACGATACCTAACAACGTGAAATATTATTTTAATCTAATCAAAATTGATAAATTAAAACACCCTTTTAATTTATCACCAATTCACATTCGTCGTCCCAAATTGACATTTAGCAATGTGTCAGAACAATACATGTGACGAGAAATGTCACATGGTATGACAAAATCAAACTCTTTCGTTTACCGTGAAACTATAATCCCTTCGTCAATATGATCCGATCAATTACGAGATATAGAAGTATGTCAATCTCGATTATTGATCATATCTTTCATTCTACTATTAAGTCAATATAAGTCGAAAACTCTTTTTTGACTTATGAGTACACCTTGGCCAAAAATTTCGTTATGGACTTAATTGAATTAAACACAGATCATAATCTCTTACTATCGAAGAGTGACGAATCATCTATTAATCATTCATGACCTTCATATGATTCTTGACATACCTAAACGATGCCGTATTAGCTGCCCTTGACAGAGCAACATCCAACACCGTCAAAGCATGACCATCCTCATATAAGGTACTATGACGACCTCAAGTCAAAATGACCAATCTCACTACTGAACGTTAGAGATTAACCACTGACACTCAGATAGTTATCCATGTGGAATCTCTCGGAGGGTCTCCAATGTTTTGTTCTATAACAAAACATCCACATGTTCATTTAAGTGTCACCATACTTTAACTTGTAAGATCAACTACTTACTTCACAAGTAAGAAATGCTACACGTGATAATTTATCCATAATAACGATATCTGTATCTCATTATTAGTTACGACCACGGACGATTTAAAATTCAATCATATGTAATTTGTATCTCATAATCACAACTCCTTGTGATTAACAAATTACGAAAATTTGAATCTACAGACTCTATTATTTAATTAACTCTATTATTTAATTTAATTGTCTATTAATTAAATAATAGATCTGTCATTAAATTGCATTAATTATTTATTAAAAGTATTTATGTCCAAGATTGATTGGACCTAGAGCATAACACTTACAAGAATCTCATTACCCATAAGCGTATTCTGAATTATCTAATACAGGAATGACCCTTAACAGATATTTTCACTTAACATGAAATCGAATTGTATCTATTCGAAGAATGGTTTGCACATAATTCTGTTCCTTTCTCAAAAGATAGTCTTCCTCATCACCCTCTATGAAGGGGATTTGTCAGTCCAGTAGAATCCAGAAAATTTTAAATTTGAGACGAAAAAATATATCCAGTCTTCAAACGTACAAGAGGGTAAGGGAAAAGTTGATTAAAAACTACAGAATAAAAATTTGTTCAAAAACAATTTTAACTGTAGGTTATGTCTATCTGATTACACGAGAGCCATCTCATGATACCAAGATGAGCTAAGAGCTTTATAATTCAAGTTGTCCTTGTTAAGGTACAAATATCCCATATCGAATAAATATGAAAATATAGATCAACTTATAAGATTTTTGGTCGTTCCTCTTAACAAAGTTGACCTTTTGAAATAGAATTTCAAATAACAATTTGATCCGATTAAGATTCAAATAAGCACACGAATTTCAAGATCGGTCTGCTCAATGTAAGGAATTTTTAATCCATCAATGGGCTTATATGTGTGAATAATTGTGTGTTAAATTAAAGGCTATCGAATTCGGTTGAACCCACTTAAAGTGATCTAATAAGGTTTCGATTTTGGGTTTTAATGTATCCAATTAAAGTGTGGGATTACATATGTATAGAGACCGGGACCAAGTCCTGAGGGCATCACTATATAAATACGGTTATGGTCTCCAAATCACACGTATCTTTTGCTCATTCTATTTTATCTCCCATCACCAGAGAGAATTACGGGCTGCGTGTAGATTTGGAAGACTATACCGCATGATTCAATTATTGCAAATAATCATGTCTGATTCAGGTACGCTTCTGCTATAATTCTTCAATTTCTTGATGATTTAACATGAAAGATCCGGTGGTTTAAGATAATAAATTATCCTATAAGTGGTATCAGAGCCTTTTCATATTGAATCATTGAGAATCAAATTTTTGGGATCTTGGTTCTTGCAATATTTTATGAAGTTTTCAGATTTAACAGTTTTGGATTTAGTTTTATTGAATTTGAAAACTATTCAGTATATTTTTTGTTATTATCTTTCATTATTCGGATTAATGGTTGAGAAAATTTCAAATTATGAATTTTTTGGTTTTGGATTCAGATTTAAAATTACTAATTTTTTGGGATTTAAAAAAAAATTAGTTTAAGGTTTTTTTTTTGGTAGCAGCCTTGCTATTGCTGGCGACAACACGAAGTGCTGCAAGCTGCAGTGCCCAACGCTGCCAATGAAGAAAGGGGACACCGCCCTAGGGAGGAAAGAAGAAAATTTCCTAAAGTTTTTTTTCAGTCTTTTGGTTGTTTTGGGAGCGGGGGCCTCACTTGTAAATTAGATAATTTGAGGCCCCTGATTGCAATTAGGGTTAAGGTTTTGATTTTATGAATCCAGTCCTTAACATGTTAAAGTACATCCAATTTGGGCCTTTAAGTTTTGAATTTAGTAATTCAGTCCCTAATGTTTAAAAATTAATTAATTCGGGCCATTAAAGTTTCGAATTTTTTAATTAAAGCCCTCAAAATTTAATTATTAATTCAAACTAGCCACCAAAGTTTATAATTAATTCAAATTGACCCCCAAAAGTTTCAAATTTTCAAAATTTGATCATTAAAGTTTTGAATTGATCAATTTTAGCCCCAAAAGTTTTAAAATTGTTCTGATTGATCCTCTAAAGGTTCGAATTAATTAATTATGATTCCTAAAGTTTCAAATTTATTAATTTCAACCCTTAAAGTTTGGAATTAATTAATTTTGTCCCCTTAAAGTTTTGAATTATTAATCCTAAGGCTCCTAAAGTTTAAAACTAAACAAAATATGCAAAATTGGTGATTCTCTTTCTCAAATTTTGGTACTAAGGACTCTTTTAAGAGATATAATACTCGAAAGTTAGTTAATTGAAACAACATGTTGCCAAAGCAACCTCTCTTATGGAAATTAATTAACTTAGAATATTAAAAGGTATTTGTGCATGTGTTATTCATGGGAATATTGATCGGCCCAAATGAAGGTCAATATTTAGTCGAATACACATGCACCTGTCGTGATAAACGTGTGACAATTATTTGGTTTAATGTGTAATCAATAAATCAATCAAAAAAATTGTTTATTGATTGACATATTGTTTTATCGTCAATGTTTGATCACTATGCCAAGAGTATCACTTACAAGTCAATATCTCTGTCCAAAGACTAGATATTGATGGTGTGCTAGGTATTTTGTGATGGGCCTTACCACTATTTGAGAATTATTATTATTTGCATATTAAAGATATTCATTTGAGCTATTCGTAATAATCGTTCTTTAATTCAGTTTCAGTTTCAGTTTCTGCTACTAATATCTCTACTAGCATCAATTCAATTACAATGCTAAATGGCACAAACTTCAGGGCGTGGCAAGAAAATGTGATGTTTGTTCTCAGAGTCATGAACCTGGACCTTACTTTATGGGTCGATCAACCTGCTGCACTTACTGATAAGAGTATCTCTGATGACAAGAGAGAGATGGAAAAATGGGAACAATTGAACCGCATAAGCTTAATGGTCATGAAGCGTGCTATTCCAGAAGCATTCCGATGCACTATGTCCGATAAGGTGATTACGGCTAAGGGTTTCCTTGAGGATCTTGAGAAGAGGTTTGCTAAGAATGAAAAGACTGAAACA